TCATCATTAAAAAAATATAGTCCACAGTCTAAAAGTAATTTAAACGAATTACTTGCCGCTATAGCTAGAACTCTGGGATGGTTACTCATAATAAAATAATTTCAATTACAAATAACAAATGTTTAAATGATGTACACCAAAAAAAATTAAAATTCATAAAAAATTAATAATTTTATTTTGGTACAAATCAAAATAAACCTATAAAATAGTATACAATTTATAAATATTATGATTAATGATTATATTATCACTTTATCAAAATATTAAAAGTATTATAAACATGTTCTTCTACTATGAGGTTAACATACCTCGGTAACCTTATTGATAACTGAATGGTTCAATAAGATGGGAGGAGTCACATCGTTCCCCGGCGAAAAAGTTAATTCTACATAGAAAACGTTTCTGAACGCACTCCAGGCATACTACCTATTCCTTAGGTAGTAGGAATGCATTTGGTAAATGGTTTATCATTGAAGTATAGATGGCGCCAGATTAGCTCATGTACGATTCCCCCTCGTACACCTCTCTCGCGGACACTAAGAGGCCCGGCGGTAAACGTCTCGTTTCCAGTCCAGTGTAGTAGTCCGTGGCCACGCCCCCTTAGAGACCGTGCTCAAGGCCACAGTCACCCGATTTTTCCAATACACAGAGTGTCTATACCGGGCCTGTATTATTTGTTCCACAAAATAATTGTTCCAATTACTATTTGTTCCACAAACTACTTGTTCCAAATGTGGAGCAAATAGTTTTTGGAACAAATAGTAATTGGAACAAATATTTCGTGGAACAAATAATTATTGGAACAAATATGTTGCGGATCAAATAGTAATTGGAACAAATTATTTGTGGATCTTAGGGCCGTTCTTACAATGTCCGGTAAAGTGTCGGTTAACGCTAACCGACTGATAACAGATTTTATTACCGGCAGAATTCTTCCGGTTAAGTGTCGGTTAACTTTAACCGGACGTCGTAAGAACGGCCCTTAATAATATTTTTTTTGGAACAAAAATTATTTTTTTTAAGTACTATTTGTTCCACAAAACAATTTTCTTAACCCTGTGACCCACTTGGGGAGGTGTTGCACAGCAAGTCGGGGGATATTTTCGATTTGCGGAGCGGAGCGACGGCGCCGAGGAGCGTAGCGACGAGTGCCGCTAGCACCGCATCACTGTACGATGTTTTTTTCAAATTGGTGGATCGGTGCAACAAAAATGCAATTTTCTCAACCCTGTGACCCACTTGGGGAGGTGTTGCACAGCAAGTCGGGGGATATTTTCGATTTGCGGAGCGGTTAGGAACACTTGGAACAAACGTTTTTTGGAACAAATATTCATGGGACAAAGTGTATTGGTACAAATGGTTTATGGAAAAAAAATCCATAGGAACAAATGTTTTGCGGAACAAAAGTCCATCGGAACAAATATTTTGTGGAACAAAAGGTAAGATTTGGACCTTAATTAATTTGGAACAAATATATCGTGGAACAAAGGTTTTGTGGAACAAAAGGTAGTGATCCGTCTATACCCTGATATCATGAAAGTATGAAACTACAATTACAATCACTATTCATGTAAGAATATTTGAAATGGTACTTCCGGGTTATCTCGACTACCTCCGTAGACCGTAATTTATTAATAAATATATATTCCCGCCACGGACTAAGATATATCTTAGTCCGTGATTCCCGCGTTGTAATCTGTATCATTGTAATGTACAAATGTACAATATTTAATTTTGTCTTCGATGTACAATGTACCTACCTACTATAAGCAGATTAGTTGACATTAACCACTTTCTGTTTGGTTATTCGGTATTCCCGAACTGTAATCTGTATCATTGTAATGTACAATATTTAATTTTGTCTTCGATGAACAATGGTGGTTTTTATTTCGTCAGTCATTCGACAATCGTCCTATTTTCTGTATTAGCGCTACGTCTAGTTAAATATATCGTTTAGTCAATATGAATTGAATTTCTTTTCCAAAATTGTATTTTGGAAAAGAAATCTTTTGGAAATGTAATATTAAAAAATGCCAAAAAAAAGGTAAATATACGTAATGGTAATTGGTTTGCGAAATCACTAATATCGTTTACGACTGCTGTGCGATTTATACATATATGGGTGGTCAAATGAAATGACTAGTATTAAGTGGTGTGAAAAAGAACTTAATATAAGTGAAAATACAGTTATTGAATGGAATAATTACTTATGTGAAGTATGTGCAATGGCGATTGAAAATAAACCACAGGGGAAAATAGGTGGACCGGGGAAAAAATAAAGATTTTTCAAAATAGATTTATATTATTATTCAGAATAGATTTAACCTATATATTTTATATATTTTTATTATTTAAAAAATTGCGGTAGTCGAAATAACACGGTTGATCATATAATAGGTACCTAGTCTCGGAAATATTTTGGTAGTCGAGATAACACGGTTGTGAACCTAAAGTAGTCGAGATAACACGGAAGTACCTTTGAAATTAATATAAAAGCAACATCAGTTAACATAGCTAGCAATAAATTCATTCAACCATTAGATCCATACTAACCGATAGGTTTCCTTTTCATTAGCTAACATCCATAATGTTAATATTAAACAAAAAGAATTATCCAAGAACGGTCTTCCTCTTATTGATTTATTTCTGGGTGGTAATGACATCAAAAGTATCTGAAATATAAAAGGTAATTATTTACACCTGAAAAAAGGACAGGCACCACTGCTATTAACAATAAACTATGGACTAACTTACTTCAAATACTTCATGATTCACAAGGAATCAACAAGTTCTAGACCTGAGAAAAACATTATTGGAGATGTAATATTTTCTGTCCAAAATGATGAGTCAAGTTCGAGTCAGGCTAACCAGCCATCAACAAGTTCTGGACCTGACAAAAACCCTACCACAAACAAATTTAAAGTTGCTGATATTAAATTACCAACAAAAATTAAGTGTAGTGGTAGACCAAAGGGTCTCTACAATTTATAAGTTTATCACTCATGCGCATTTGATAACAAAATGGTCGGGTGACTACCACGATTTAAGATATACAGGTTGAACATCGGCCTCATAGGCGCAACTAGGGGGGGGGGCTAGAGGGGGCTAAGTCCCCCCAGTTTGCCAAATAGCCCCCCCAGTTTTTTTTTCATGTGACTTCAATTTAAACGTACAAGAAAACAGCCAAATACTATAGATATGAGAACTTTGTGGTGTTAGAGAAAACTGGAGAAGAAAATGAAGGAGAGTGTAACATCGGAACAGAAGAAGAGTACTGGTGAAGAGTGGCTTACTACAGAATTATCGACACATTAATTATTAATCTTAAAAGCAGATTTTCAACCGAAAGCTTATTATTAGCCACTTCAATAGATAGTTTTCTCGAAATAGATTTAAAAAACAGTGAATATTTTATAAATCAATATCAGGAAAATTGTGAAAACTTAAAAATATTTTTTTAATACATACAAATTCGTATTAATTGAACATTTTATGGTTTTTAGTCAATTTTAAATTTCAAACAAGATGATTTAAAGGCGGAGATGCTCGTTGCTAAAAATTGTGCATTTAATTTAAATAATGATTTTGAATTAGACACCATCAAAGAAATTGTGAAGAAGAATACATTTCCAAACATATACAAGCTGTTTCAAGTAGCTCTAACCAAATTATCTATACAGATAATTCGGCAACATGTGAACGATCCTTCTCATGTATGAGACGCGTAAAAAATTGGTTGAGAACATCAATGGAGCAAGATAGATTTTCAAATTTAGCCATTTTAAATATTGAGAGAGATATGTCCAATAATATCAATAATTATGACATACTGGAAAAATATAATAAAATAAAAAACCGTCGAATGTAGAATGCTAATATAAGAATTATTATAACAATTATTTGTATTTATTTATTGATTATAACTAAATGGGTAATATAATATAAAATTTCTAACGGAAGCAAAGAAATTTGTTCGGGACTATAGCCCCCCCAGAATTTTTACCTTAGTTGCGCCTATGATATTATGCATTTTTCAAGACCGTCAAACCACGATTTAAGATATATCTTAGCTCTTAGGTATTAGCATTTAGTATTTAATGTACATTACATTTTACCAACTATATTATCCATTTATTATTCGCTAAAATGCCGAGAAAATGCTCTGTGGATGGCTGTACGGGATGTTCAGAGGGAAAAAAATACACTTTATTTAAAAGTCCAAAAGATGTGGTTAATTTAACTGCTTGGAATGAAGCAATTTCAAATGCCAATATCTTAATTCGTGCTGGACACTGATGTATTAATATTTCGTAGAATGGATCATAGATGGCGTTAAAATCGCACTTGTACCAGAAGCGTTACGTGGTACACTGTAGTAGCAGTAGTAGTGTAGTTCCATAGTTGACTATCTCGTTTCCAGTCCTGTTTATCTTAGTCCGTGGTTTCCATCCACCTTGGTTCTATACTTCTATACTTCTATCATAAGACCAAATTTCATTTTAAGAAAAGTTTTTTAAATCTGTCAATGAAAAATAATTAATAAAAAATAATATTCTTAAGTAATAAATTAAAAATTAAATGGTAGTACAACTTATATAACAATACACAAATACAGATTCATAGTAAGTAATATTTAATGAATATCAGCTATTAAATACTAAAATACCTAGTTAGATATTGCCTTCATACCTAGTAGCTTACAGTTAGTAGAACTTACACTTTAAAATGAGTTATTAATATGTATTTAAATGTTTACAAATTACAAACATTCCATAGACTATATTTCTCTAGAGTTTGATAATTAAAGTTGTTATTTCTGAATTTATCTAATGAATATAACTTTTGTTTTATACTTAAAAATAAACAGAAATTAGTTTTGCTATTTATCAACACTCATTACTCGTAGTCATAAGTCACAGTTGGCAACTAATAACAAAAATTTAAAAATTTCAAGTTCCTTGCTTATAATTGAATATTTTTTTGTTTTAGAAAGACAAATCATGGAAGTTGAAACGTTGTCCTCTAAGTTAAAAGGTAAACGTCCACCTGTTCAGATAATCCAACATAAATCAAGAAAACGAATAAGTAAAATTCAGAAAACCAACTATCTGAAGTCTGATACTTTAAATTCAAAAGCGGATGAAAAAGTTAATTTAAGGAAATTACAAAATGAAATATTTAAATTTACCACTCACTTTGATGCAAGAAATTCCAAAGCAAAGGAACAACTTGCTATTAAATTGGGGGCAAAACCTAGAAAAAAAGAAAATTCAAATTATAAGCAATTAAAAGAAAAATTAAAACAAGATGCTGAAGCAAAAAAAAATCAAGAAGAACTTTTTAAATTGCCTAAAACAATGGTAAGGACTTCAAAAAATAATACAAAAATATCAAATGTAAAAAAAAATAAACAATCTAATGATATTATTAAAAATTATGGAACAATAAAAAATAAAAAATAAAATGTTCATGTATTAAACCTTTGCATATTATTAAATAAACATTGTACAGTAAATATTTGTTTTTATTTAAAATGTTGAAACTGAAAACATTATTTTCACAGAATCATTAATGTGTGTAGTACAATATTAATTATTTTTAAATTCCAAATTATGTATGACGTATGTAATCTGTATGATTGAGTTAAACATATAGATGAGGAGATTTTAAGGACATAAAGATGTGTGATAAAGATATTTTAAACAATTTAGGTATACACTAATTATTAGTAATTACTAATTAGTATAAAAAATATGAGAAAAATACTATCTTTTACTTTATATTGGTAATCTTTAAATTAATTAATCAATTATAATAAATATTATATTCTTAATGAATGAAAAATGAAAATATTTTAGGTTTACTACTATAAAATAATAAATATACATTATTATCACACTGGGAAATGGTGTATTTTTCTGATGGGCCAGTCTTCACTATGCTAATATTTTATGACATACACAGGGCCGGATTAAAGAGTAAGCAGTATAGGCCAGTAGTGTGGCGAACTAAAAATGTTCCAGAGGCAAGTTACAAATATCCCAAGTATTAATGCATGATAATGTATTAATATAATATAACTAATTACATTTCAGATCGTTATTGACTACCTATTGAGTATATCATATTACATTTACTAAGGGGACCCACCCCTCTATTTAAGAAAAATCTGAAATTACTGTTTGCCACGCTACTAGTATAGGCTACATATATGCATGCACCATAAAACCATACTAGTCATTTGTTTAATATAATATTGTTAGAGATACATAATACAATGATATCTTAATTTTTTTTTGATCAATTACAAGAGTTATGATTTATTAGATTGTATCCACATCTAAAGCCTTGTAGTTGTTGTACTGTCGTAACTTGTTTAGTTTAAGTTATTTATATCAGTTGGACAATTGGACCACAGATGGTGGATTTTACAATTTTGGCATATTAATAACTTAATTTATTAATTGTTGTTTTTGACATATTTTTATTATTTTGTCAATACAAATGTCAAATATAATATACTACTACACTAAGGGTGGCCAAACCATGCCGTGACTCTTATCACTGGTCACCCCTGTAATATAGCTTATATGTTTAATTTATTTTTCATTTAGAACAGAATTACCCATGTGATCAGGGCTGAGCATGAATTTTTATTTTCTTAACACATCATTTAAATTAGGTACCAATAAATAAGATTTTAAACTTTTATTCAGATATTTTTGATTTTTAGGTCTTTTAGTCATTTTATTTTAATTTAAGTTACTGTAAATTAAAAATGTTTACACATATTTTATCAATTATTTTTATTTTTCGTCATATAAATATTTTACATGTGCTAAATAGCTGTAGGTACTAGGTAAATCATACTTAAAATATTACCTATATTTTGGAATATTAAAGTTAAATAGCAAATTTATTATTTGTAAGCTCCTATCTAAAGAAATAATGTTTTTCCCTCTTTTGTAAACTGAATTAATATAGTTACTTTTAAAACTTGATGGCTGTTAATATTTTTCATTGTTTATGTTTAGTGCATCATATTTACAGGGTAAACTCTTTGAATCATAAGTTATACATTTATTTATGCCTTATGCTTGTGCTGCATTTTGTTACTTTATTTGCAAAATGGGTAATGGAATAATTTGTTAGAACATAAATATAGAACAATTTTATTATTTTACTAAAAAAGTTATGACTTAGATTCATATATCTCAGGCCAAAAATATAACACAATATTATGGTGTATTGGCATTTGGTGTTATTATTTATTGTACTGTAAAATATATTTTAATATTCAGTGGTAAAATTTTAAATATTACATTTACATGTATATGTTTTGTTATCAACTATTAATTAAGGATATCAAACTATCCATTAGACTGATAATAAATTCGTGTTGACTATCGTTTTCTGGTAATAAAGTTATTACAGTTTGTACTAGTTCTAAAGTTTCTTTTAATAATGATTTTTCAACATCAATTGTCACCTGAAATCAATAACATTATAATAAATAATTTACCTTAATATTTAATATCATAAAACTCACAGGACTATTAAGCCAAGAAATAATTTCTGGGCTAAAGTGTACAATTCTGTCATGATAGTCTAAATTACTAATGCATACATCAAATTGCAATCTATGTTTGATTACATTCATTAAATGTTTTACAAGGTTTTCTTTATTGTGAACAACTGGTATGATCTATTCAAAATAAATTATATAATATGAATATGTTTCTAAATCAAATAAGAAAAAATAAAATTAATTTCTTACTTCTTCAGCTAAACGATCGTGTCCTTTACTATACAGTGAAATAACTTGACATATTCTAAGATCATCTAAATTTAATTGCCAATCAAAAGCTAATTGAAATATTTTATTTATCCAAAACATACATTCCTTGCTTTCATATGCATATTGACCATCCTGAAACAGTTTCATTGTTTATAATTAAATTTGAATTGAAAGGGAAAAAATAAGTTAACATTGATTATTATTGAACATTATTATTTTAATGCAATATTATTCAAATTTGAATAATTATTATGAACTACATTGTTGACATAATACTATATATTTTTTAATTTATTTGATAATATATATACACTTACATTAAAAAACTAAATTTTAATCATTTATATTGATTACTTAACATTTAAAATAATATTTTGTTTATAATTGACTACTATTTCTAAATTATTTGTGCAGTTAACTATTTAAAGATTATCACATTCGTACCTCGCAATCTTTTTGTATGAGTCCAACCGCTGAATTTATAGAACTAATGATGAAATTAGTTTTTGATTTTTTAACTTTAGTCCTTGGCATTTCTTGATTGAAAGTGTTTTGGTTCAAATTAGAAATATCAATTTCATGTACCTATAAAAAATAGTTTTATTATTAGGAAAACTATATTTGTTTAATACTAACTTACATTACAGTCAAACAGACTGTTCAGTGGTTTATTTATGTGTATTGAAAATTTGGCTAATATATGAAATGTTCTAACAAATTGATGAGACAAAAAAAGTGTTTCTCTATCAGGATTAGGTTTATTTAAAGCTATTTGAACAAGAGTAAGTTTATGTTGGTTATTGGTTTTCCAATTTTCCCAAAAAAAATCATGTTTCATTTCAGCAAGTTCAAATTCTTCAGCTGATAAAGATGCCTGAAATATTATAATTTGATTACTATCAAAGGAAATTATATTATTATTGTTATATCAACCTTAATAATAATGTCAAAAAAACGTTCACATAAATCAAAAAATTTGACAACATATTGATCTGGCATCCCAACATCTTGAATACACAACTTGTCTTTAGGAACTTTTCCTATACGATCAATAAGCTTCACAGCTGATAAAAAAATGGGCGATATATGTGTAGACCATACTAAAGAACACATACCTAAAAGTATAAAATTAACACTCACAAGTTATAATACTAATCAAAATTGTAAATAATAAAATATACTTGCTTTGTCTTGTATGCAAACATGGTAATGTATCAGCAACATTTAAAGCCGTTTTAAGCGGTCTAAGATCAGCAACACAATTTTTCCAAGCAGATGAATATTCCCAAAAAATATTACTTAATAATGTATTTCCGTCCAAACTGTATGGAAAACAGGTTTTGAGACGTTTTAATGTATCTAATATTTCTTTTTCTGCCATATTTAATGCTTTAACTTCAATAGCTGTCTCTGTATTTATAATAAGGCCTTCTTGAATACCCATAATTCCTTTATTTTGATTTAAAGGTTTAGTTTTTTCTTTATCAAAATCTATTAAATACTCATCAATCACTAGAGTTGGATCGAGGCCTATACCAGCCAACCATTTACCAACAAGTGTAGAAACCCCACCTAAAATCAACTATGTTGTGAGATAATGTAATTAAGTAACTATTATAAATTATATTGTATTATTATTACTAATAAATGTAATTAGTGATATTACCACGTCCAAGTTGCAGTAAATCTATTAGTGTAATCGACGAGTACTCATATTTTAAACAGTGAAGTGTTCCAACTGGTTCTTTTGAACTATATTTTAATGTTGCATTGAGATGGCACAATTGTTCAAGTCTTTCTATTAATATATTCCATTGATAGTCATCTCCAGAAATACATTCCCATTCATTATTAACATTGACTACAAATAAAAATTATACAAATAACAAAAGTATTTATTAAAAATATATTAAAAAAGCTGCTTTTGATTCCCTCTCAAATAACTATGTTACTGTATAATAATACAATAACTAACCTGTTTTTCTACTAGATGCAATTGTTTTACAAATTATAGCTCCAGTAAAACAAGCAAATGTATTCGAACTATTTGAAAACTGATCTTGTGTTACTTCCCAATCAAATTTTATCCCTGATTAAAAATATATATATATATTTTGTAATTAACAATTTCAACAATGATTTATAATACTCATACCATTTGAATTACAAATTGTGTCAATTACTCTGTGGAAATTTAACATTTCTGTTACTACAGTCAAGGTGAGAGGTTTTGATAGCCAATATTTGACAGCTAAACATACCATATCTGATAATTGAATACCACTAGCTATCCATGCAGAATTCCATTCTCCAATATCATTATCAAAATGCATAATAGGTTCAAATATATGTTTACCTGAAAAATGCTATTATTAATATGCAATTTAATAAATTCATATAAATAATAGGTAAATCGTACATAATTCATCTACATTTTTATCATTGTTTATAGACACACTTTCACCAGTTGTATTGAAATAAGATAGTAATTCAATTAAATTCATCGATTTCACATCATCATAGAACATCACAATAGTTTTTTTTTTTGGTTCTATAGGAAGTAAAG